GTAGTCAACGCCACAACCTGTATAAGGTTGGAATTCTTCTCTAACTCTGGGCGTGGGCCTGAGGGTGTTCAACCGCTTCAACGCATTTCAGGCGTGATCCAGGCAGTATTGGTGGATTGTTCACCACTCTTATTGAGAGACAGTTAATTGTGCTGCAGGTTGGGCCTTATATGGTATTTTGTAAGTTGTTTGTTATTTAAAGATGTAATTTTAAAATGTTAGAGTATGTGTGGCTAATGACCAAATCGGGTAATTATTTTATAGAAATTCGTCCGTTGCTGTTTTGCTGCTGTGTGGCGGCTTGACCGTGGTGCTGTGCTGGGGAGAAGTTGTTCGCCTTCCTTCACGTGCTCTCGACTGTGTGTCTGTTCAAGTCGCATTATAGCGAATTAAGTGTGTGTGTGTGTGTGTGTGAGAGCGTGTGTTTGGGATGAGCGTTTGCGAGTGAACGCTTGTTTGTGGGTCTGTGTGTGTTAAAATCAACCAGCATTTTTTTTTTTTTTTTTTTTTGACTGCTTTAATTGTATTTTCTTTAATTTTGGTATTCTGTTTTGTGGTTTTGAGAATTGTGGGTAGCTACTCTTATCTTTGATTGTCAATTCCCTTATAACCAACAAGGGCTATAATCTGCTGGGAGGGTTTATTGTTTTTTTATTTTGTTTGCTTGTTGTGTGGTTTGCGGTTTTGTTTTGTTTTATTTTGAGTGAGGGTAATTTTATTTTTGCTTTACAGATTTGCGGGAAAGTGTGAATTTGAGGGTTTTGTTTGTATTGAATTTATTGGGGTTTTGTTTTTGTTTTTCTTCTCCTTCCTAAATGTTGAATTATCCCAAGGGATATTGATATTGTCAAGTCAAGATAAATCATTACAGGTGGCCACTGAATATTATTTTTTATGTAACAACAGTATTGTATTCATGATTTGTGTATTTCTCTAACGAATTTGTGTTTTGTATGATTATATTTTTTAGTCTATATTTAAGTGTCAAATAAAGAAGATTGTTTGTGTACCTCTCTGCTTGTTCCTTCCATTTGTTTGGAAAAACCTGTAGTTGTAGAAAACCATCTACCTTGTTACTTTAGGTGGCATTGTTCCCGCCCACATTAACATAATGTTAAACATTACGCACACATTAAAAAAACAAAAACAGATTTATTAGCATCTGGACCTTCCTGCATCCTTTCACCACATGACATGTAATAAGAATAAGTTAATTACCAAAACACAACAGAACAATCTCCTTTGAAGTTAGTCAATAAGAAACAATGCATGGTAAGTGTCACATATTGTCCTTGTATTTTTTATATATTTTTTTTATTAATTATATATAATTCCAAGCACCACAAAACTGCTTTCCTCACAGCCATATACAGAGGGAAAGTGCTTTATTTTGAGGTCAAAACCGTTTTTTCTACCATTTATAACATAATAGTGTATTCATAACTATCAAATGTAAATGGCTTTAAAAAAAATTATAAATAAAAATTAATTCCGAATAAATATTATAAAATATATAATAAAAGTAGTGGTCCCCTAGAGTTGTGTCTCTGGTGTTACTGTTTAACAAAAATAGTTTACTTTGAAATAAAAATCACACTGATGACATCACTTGACTTCCTTCCTATTTCCTAAAGATCTATAAAAAAGGTCCATGATAAGTCCACTGTCTCTTGTTAGTTATAAGAAATGTTCTCATTTATCTCATGATTTCATATGAAGCTTTTAGTTTAAGTCACTGGTATGACCTAATTTATTGTTAGGGAATTGTAAAAAACTAGAATACAAATGGATTAAAGGGGTCATATGATGCGATTTCAAGTTTTCCTTTCTCTTTGGAGTGTTACAAGCTGTCCGTGAATAGATAAGATCCCTAAAGTTACAAAGACTAAAGTCTCAAACCCAAAGAGATATTCTTTATAAAAGTTAAGACTCGTCCACGCCCTCCCAAAACGCCTCGATTAAACACGCCCCCAAATGTCTACGTCACTGTGTGGGAAGATTGGCATAACACCGCCCAAATGTTCACGCAAAGAAAGAAGCATAACTTTGATTTTCGCTGTAGTATTGTTGCCGCCACCGCCATGTCGTGGAGACGCTGTGTGTTTCGTTCTGAAAGCGAAACTACTTTGTTTGGTCTTCCAAAAGAGGACACAACTAGAAATCAGTGGTTAAGTTGTATTTACAACACTGTTCCAGAACAGTTCAAACCAAATATTCAGATGTGTGCAACGCATTTTACGTAGGACGAGGACTGTTTCCTGGTAGATTAGCCTACAATGCCGGTGTTCCGGTGAATTCAGTTCCCCTGTTTCCCCTTCGTGCTGACCCTAAACAGTCTATGATGATAATAAATAATGCTGACTCACAGCCTGTAAGTACGTTTTCATATTTAAAGGATTTGCCACTGATGATTCAAACGCGAGTTTTCAGCAGTGTAGAGTAGCGCTAGTTGTTTGTCGTTTCTCCGATCACAAATGCAGAAATGTTTTTTTGTTTACACAGCGCGATGCAACACAACACGTAAAAAGACAGTATAAGTAACTATAATCAGTAATTATATCCCCACTGGATGCAACAAATGCCTTGTTTATAATGGGTTTTATTGGTTTTGTCTCGTCACGCCGGGGCACGGCATCACAACATGGTAAGGGGCGTAACCTTTCCATCACACGCTTGAGGAATTTGGCCAATCACAACGCATTAGATAACTGGCCAATCAGAACACACCTCGCTTTTCAGACCGATGAGCTTTGTAAAAATCGACGCGTTTCAGAAAGGTGGGGCATAGAGGAGAAACAATAATGTACAGTATGTGGAAAATAATGTGTTTTTTTAACCTTAAACCGCATAAACACATTACATTACACCAAATACACAAAATAATTTTATTTTTTAGCAACGTCATATGACCCCTTTAAACTACTTAATTTAGTGAGTATACCATGATTGACAACATGTGGTTTGATACCTTGCAGCAGCCATTTTGTAAAATGCATTTTTCATGGAAATTGTCACTGGTGTTACTGTCACTGGTGTCACCTTCCTTATGGATAACAACAGTGAAGATCAGTATATCAGGTCTTATGTATGTCACTGGTCATTCATTGTGTCACTGGTGTTACTGTTTTTTCTGTAACGTTAAATAAAACACAATATCCTTATTTCTTGCATTTTCATTATTTTTCTGCAATTATGACTACATGTGCTGAAAAAAATCAAGAAATAATAGTTTATAAAAACCTTTAATATTGCCAAATAAGGTAACACCAGTGACAAAAATGGTAGATGTGATCTTTAAATAATTGCACAAAAAAGTTGTCATTTATATGTATTCATAAAGTCAAAAGGTAATCTAATAACGCGGTCTAAGTTTCAATGTTAGAAAAATAAATACATTTTAAGACATCTTAAGACAGGGCCAAGCATATCCACAAACTCATAGAAAATAACCAAAAAAATCCAAGGCTTTTATATTTAGCTCAGTGGCTAGATTAACAAATAACCAGACGCCACCCGATCTAAATATTCCCTCACAGTTTAATAGTAATGACTTTATGAATTTCTTCACTGATAAAATCGACTGCATCTAAATCAACAACATGCCTGTTCAATCCTGTACCCACTAAATTACTGAAACAGTTTTTACCTATCCACCTTTTTCTTCAATGCGGAAGTAAGCCTATGGGTGAGACTTCCGGTTCATTAGCCGCTATAGGTAAATAACGAGGAGAATAACAACGTGCAGTAAACGGTAAAACTGTTTGCACTACAAACCTGTGTGTTCATAATTAAGATAATACATTAAAATAATATGATAAGACACACCAACTTTCAATATCAAGCAGCAAAACGAACTGTTTTGCTCAGCTAAAATTAGCTGGAAGGAGTGGACGCAGATGAGACCGGATGCCAGACCCATATAATTTACAAATGGCCGCGCCCATTTATACGACAAGAAAAAGGTGGATAGCAGAAGAACCGCTTCTCAATATTATTAACTCGTCGTTGTCTTTAGGTCACGTCCCAAAACCATTCAAGCTGGCGGTTATTAAGCCTCTTATTAAGAAACCACAACTATATCCTAGTGAACTGGCAAGTTACAGACCCATTTCAAATCTTCCTTTTATGTCTAAAATTTTAGAAAAAGTTGTGTCTGCTCAATTGTGCTCCTTGCTGCAAAAATATCTCTATGAAGAATTTCAGTCAGGTTTCAGGCCCCACCATAGCACAGAAACTGCACTTGTTAAAATTACAAATGACTTGCTTCTTGCGTCAGACCAAGACTGCATCGCATTGCTAGTTTTACTTGATCTTAGTGCTGCATTTGATACTATAGATCATGACATACTCCTAGATCGATTACAAAACTATACAGGTATCCAAGGGCAGGCTTTAAGATGGTTTAGATCCTACCTGTCCAATCGCTACCACTTTGCTAATTTAAATGGGGAGTCATCTCGATTATCACTAGTAAAATATGGAGTGCCACAAGGATCTGTC